AAATAGAATAATTAATAATTTACGTTATCGGTCGCCATTTTCATCCATTCTTCAAAATTAATATGCATTTGTTCATCTGGTATCTTTTGAACAGGAGTGACTACTTCCAAAGGTTTAATCGAGTTTCTTTGGCTTGGAGTTGACGCGTTTTGACTACCCGAACTACCGGCTCTAACAGGAGCGCTATTACCTCCAGAAACATTTAAGGATTTTCTTCGCATTGAGTCTGCTAAAGATTTTCTACGCGTTCTGAGCTCTGAGGCGTCGTCGTTTAAAGGAGCATTCGTTTCTCTGAGGTTTCTTAATGGAGTTCCGAGCGAATGGCGACGTTTTGATGCAGAAGTTGACATATTCGGTTATACTACTAAAAATCGAATATCGGACAGAGCGCGTTGAATTGGCCAGTTTATATAGACATAAAAAACGCGTTTATTATTGATTTAATTGGTTAATACTCACGTGTATATAATTTAATAATTTCTTAAATAAGTTAATTCAAAATTTTAAATAAAGAAAATTTTATATTAAGTTATATATTAAAATAGAATTTATAAACATCAAAAATAGTATTATAACTAAGGAACGGGGACCGTGGTTAAGTCCGGAACGATCTTAACGAAAAAAATATTGCAAAAGCCAATCAGCATTGACTCAATTTTTGAGCGGGACACTTTGCGTCAATGTTGGCAAGTGACTTTATGTGACCGAAATGACTTGATGACCAGGTCATAAGTCATTTGGTCATTTTAGTTAAATAGATTTATGTGACCTAGTCATAAAAATAATATATATTACAATCATGCGATTATGCTTAAACATTTAAAAAAATATATTTTTACAGAAATATTTGTTTATTTATTGATTTATTTAAAGTGCAGAATAAATTTGATTTGTTTCTAAATAAGTTGGTAACTCTAAATTCGAAACAAATAAAGATGCTAATGATCATTTTGCCATTAAATCATCAGCAGGATGAATTATTCTTTCTCTAAAATTAAAATCATTATTCATTTCATCAGTTAAAAGTATTTCATCATCAGAATAATCAAACTTATTTTCGTGCTCAATAGCTTTAATCCATTTTTCAATATATGTATTCCATTCTTATTCTTGTTCTTCAGTTTAAGGTTCAATAGGTTCATTTAAAACTAAATCATTATTTCTATTATTATCTTGATCTCATTATTTATATCACTATCTTCATTACTAATTTGTAAATCATTATCTGATAGATCACTAAATTCAGAATTATCTAAACCATTATCTTTAACTATCGGTATTGCTATATGTAAATGCTTAACTTTAGTATTTAATTCTTTTGTATTTTTTTTTTTTTGATGATGATAAAGTATATTACTTCAGATTTGACTTATTGCTAATACTTTTTTACTCTATAAATATTAATAGAATAATAATTATTAATTGATTAGAATTTTAATATTATTAATATAAATATATACAGTGATATGCAAAAAAAAAGAACTTTTTTAAAATCACGATAGATTCACAAGTATTGCGTCAATTAAAATGTTTAATGTGTCATTTTAAAGCTGAGAAGTAGTAAATTTATTTAAAAAAAAATTAATATGATATTCGTTCACCATTTTTTTCAATAACCTCCCTACAACGCTGAGGCATTGAATTTATAAGATTAATTAGAAGACTATTTTGAATTTTTTTCTACTCCTCTTCCAATAAACGTTCTAATTCACTAAGATTTTTTGGCCTACGCAACTCCACATTCCTTTTAACAATTACTCAAAGGTTTTCAATAGGATTTAGGTTTGGACTATTAGAAGGCCAATCCATAACATTTGGAACATTTTTATCAAGAAAATCCTTAGCAATAAGACTTCTATGCTTAGGATCGTTATCTTGTTGCAGCCGTCAATTACCTTGTAACATATTGCACACTTCTGGGAGATGCTTATCCAATATTTCTGTATAAAATTCTCCATTCATTATGCGTCTAAAACAAAAAAGACTAGTGGTACCCTTTATACAAAACCCACCCCAGGCGAATATTTTACTTCGGTCCTTTGGCATTGGATGGATTGGCCTTGCATTTTTATACCATTGCCTTATCATATTACAGAATAATTAGAAAGATGTTTCATCACTAAATAGAGTTGTTTTCCAATCATCATCCTTATGTTTTTGAGTCCATTCAACTCGTTTTTATTTATGAACTTCAATTAGCATTGGTGTGCGAAAAGGAAGTGCATTTTTATATCCAAGATCAGCCAAATATCTCAAAACTGTTGAGCGGGAGACATCTACTCCTATATCTTATAATTTATCAGCAACAGACTTAGCAGAAATTGAAGGTTACCTTCAAATATATTGTTCAATAGCCCGAGATGCATTTGTTATTATTTTTTTAATACGTCTGTTACCACTTTTATGCTTTATATCTCCAGTATCTTGGATTTTTTTAAGGTTTCGGCGGATAGTACTAATTGGAATCTTTGTTAAACTTTGTATTTTAATAGCATCTCGTATTCCTTGCTTCCAGAAATATAATATAGCCTGTCGTTGCATTTCTTGCTTTGATGAGGTCATTTTGATATTTGATAAAATAAAATTTTTGTTAAAGTGTGGAAAAGGTTTCACTAAAAGTTGATAGAGGGATCATCAGGCTTTTATTTGCATATTTATTTGTGTAATTCTGACTAAAATTGGGTAAGTTACGCCAGTTAATTATTTTTCGAAAAAAAATTCATTTTTTTTGCACACCACTGTATCTTTAATCTATTTTGTTTATTTGTATGAAGAAAGCTATACTATTCCAAAGCCTTTCTACTAATGCTGAATTCACACAAATACTATGAATATGTATTGCAATTTTTGCAAGTTCTAAACTAATACTAGCTGTAGAATCCCAATAATTTACTAAATTACCTTTAAATTGTAAAAATATTTAATGTTATAAGGATCTTTACCTTGTTTATAAAGAATCATTTCAGCTACAATTGATAAAGGATAAAAATCAAAAAAGCCTGATAATAATATTTTAACCATTTACCAAGATGAGTCCATGTTAAATTATTATTTATGACTCAAAACTTTTTATTTTGTATTGAGAATAAAGAATAATAGAAAGTATAAAAAGTAGTTGTTCTTATTCTTTTCAACATACCTCAAGTCTTTTAACTATTCGCATACTAAAATTAAAATCCTGATAATTTTCAAACATTTTAATAGTATATACAAAATAATGTATTACTTCAAATAATCATGCAGTATCTTTTTGTAGTTTATTTAAAAAGTCACATAAAGGATAAAGTATATATTGTAATGCAAAAAAAGTCTTTCAGAATTTTGAATCATTTATAATATTAGCAATATTATCAGAAAGTTTTTGATTATTATTATAAGTTAAAGATTTATTTGTAGGTATTGAAAGTACACCATTTTGACATATTACATTAGCTCAATGTGAGTTGAATTTTGCTGAAATAAACTAAAATAATAGAATATTTTTATATTAATATATGCTTGGTATTAATTAATAATATTATTAAATTAACATTATAATATTTACCTTTAATGCCGCTTGTGTTTTTAAAATTGAATAAAAATAAAAATAATAGCTATTACATCTAGCCCAATAAAAAATTTGATATAAAAATTCCATAAAAATATTAAGTTTTATAATGTATAACTTTTATGGAAAATCAGTA